TTTCACATTAATCAGACTCTGCTTCCTCTGGGAAGCCTTATGACAAGATCCAGCCTGTGCAATATCACATATGATTTGCTTTTCTTCTTGGAAGGGACATTCTGTGGCTTTTCTCTGGAATCTGTGAAGAAAATGTTCCCCAGTTTAGAAACTGGGATTGAGAAAGCTCCTTTTCTCGGCCATACAGCAGTAATTCTTGTGAGGGTCAACTGCTGACCCGTGAGGGTGGGTTGAGTGGCTATGGAGGTTGAGAGTCGTGGATTCAGTGACTGGAATTCACTTGAGTACCGTTCTGTCATCCCCCTCTTAGAGTTGTCACAGGTATATATGGAAAGTCATCAGAATCTCTTTGTCTTCCTGTGTCATTTTTTTATGGACTTGCTATTTTTTGACTCGGGGCCAGGGTATAAATTAAAGTTCTTTGACGTACTTTGTTTTATAGTGTTATTTTCTTAATGTGAAAAAGATTCTGCAGTCAACACCAGTATATCTGTTATTGAAATGAATACAGTATATCAAATGTAATTCACATTCTTTCCATGTGTATTTCTTAGCTATTATTTGTAAAGAAACAAATAATAGGGTGGCACCTGTAGCTCAGTGAGTAAGGCGCCAGCCCCATATACCAAGGGTGGTGGGTTCAAACCCAGCCCCGGCCAAATGGCACCAAAAAAATAACCAGATGTTGTGACGGGTGCCTGTAGTCCCAGCTACTTGGGAGGCTGAGGCAAGAGAATCACCTAAGCCCAAGAGCTGGAGGTTGCTGTGAGCTGTGATGTCATAGCACTCTACCGAGGGTGAGAAAGTGAGACTCTGTCTCTAAAAAAGAAAAATAAACAAACAAATAATACAGATAAACTTGAAGGCTGCTGTTCTACCTCCCCTAGTCTCACTCTGCCACCCCAGAGGACATAGCTATCATGTGTTGCTATTTATACAGTTCTATTTTATACTTTGTTTTAACACTTACCACATATATGAAATATGTTTGTTACATAAAACATAAATTATTTCTGGATTTTAAAATGTACGTATCTTTTACTGTAAGTGTGGAATGTATTCTGGAAATATCTGCCTTTACTACCAAATATTTTGGTTTCAGAATTTACATTTATTGGGATTTTTTTAAATTTCAGATTAATATATGGGTACAAATGATTAGGTATTTGTTAGGTGAATGTCCAAGTTGTAGTTTTCCTTGTTGTTATATAATCCTAGTTCATTTTTATTAAAGTTGCTATTACTCCAGCTTATGAAAGTGACACAATATACCTGTTCCCAAACTGACCAGAATTTGAATCAATTCAATTTAACTATAATAGATTATGCTGAAATAAATATCCTTATACATTTCCCTTAGGACACATTAGAGTTCTTTTGCTACACTAGTTATGACAATTCAGTTTGCAAACTCATTCTAGAAAAAGTGCTACACACCTCATCGGGGACTATCA